CTATCACGTAATTATTAAATCAGATAATCACGTATTAAATACCTTGAGTAATAACCAGGATCTGGTTATCACAGATAAGATTGTAGTAATCAGAAATCGACTCAAGGCTGCAACGGATCGTCATAAAAGCTATGCTGACAATTGGAGGAGACCTTTAGAATTCCAGAAAGGCGATAAAGTTTTCTTAAGGGTCTCACCATGGAAAGGAGTGATGCGTTTTGGAAAGAGAGGCAAACTGGGCCCTCGTTATATTGGCCCTTTTGTAATTGCAGAAAGGATTGGACCAGTGGCATATAAGCTAGATTTGCCCCCGGAGTTATGCACTATACATGATACATTCCATGTATCGAATCTCAAAAGATGCCTATAAGATGAAACTCAAGTAATGCCACTAGGAGACGTGCAGGTTAGCGATCAACTGCATTTTGTTGAAAAACCCATAGAAATCATGGATAGAGAAGTTAAGCAGTTGAGGCGTAGCAGGATCCCTATGGTAAAAGTTCATTGGAATTCGAAATATGGACCGGAGTACACGTGGGAAAGGGAAGACTTCATGAAAAGCAAATATCCCCACTTGTTCTCAAAGCCAACCATGATTTGAATTCGACGATTAAATTTCGGGACGAAATTTTTCTGGCATGGGGAGACTGTGACAATCCTGCATTTTGAGATCTTAGGTTAGTACCTTATTTCAGGTTCTTTATTGAAAATTAAGTCTTTCTAGGATTAGCTTCGTTGATTAGAGATCATCTTGCTCAATTCTCAGGATTAGTTTGTTAGATCACGTTTCGGTGGGTAGTTAACCAAGTTAGTTTATGCAATGCCAAATAGTCTTGAAATGTTTCATTTAAATAAAGTCGATATTTAAGTTCCATTCTTTTTATATTTAGTTGCCAATTAATTTAAAAGGGTGGAGTTTTTAAAATCTTTTGTCAATTTAATTTGCTTGGTTAAATTAGTGAAGTTTTATTATTTAGAAAAATAAAAATATCTTGGGCTTAGGCCTTTAGAGGCCAGCCCATTTCTTCTCAAAAAGCCCCATATAAATACCCCTCTTCTTTTGGAAAATCTTCATTCTCCAAATTCCAGCTTTATGTTTTCTCTCTAACGCCATCACCTTCCAGTCGGTTCCAATTTTATTGCAAAACTCAAGGTTTTGTTGTCCTTAAGAGTTGTTCGAAAGCTTCTGTTCAGAGAAGGTATGCTTTAGAGCTATTCTATTTTCTTAATAGTCAGAAAGTTTTTATCCTTCTCCCTTCTCCATTCTCCATTCTTTAAGTAAAATTTATGGGATTTAAAGAGGAGAGATTATTCATCAAAGACCTGCATATGTCTTCTTTGAGATGATAATCCGTGACACATGTTCTTTAATCTCTAAGAAGAAGGAGAGAATCTTTGTATGTGAGGTCTAATCATATTTTCGGGTGATAGACCTTGCATGTATCTTTAAATCGGATTTCTCATCTTGTAAACTCGTTGGAATCGGAAATTATTTGTCTTCTGGAGTTAGTTCGAAGATGATGATTTTGTGTTAGAGTTTAAACTCTTGAAAATATTGAGCTGGAGACCCCTCCCCATCATTGCTACCATTCTTGGTGCATGCAATTGGTGTTGGAGGCGTGTGGCTCAAGACCAAAAACAAAAAGACCGCAACCTACAAGAACTATTCCCAAGGCCAAAAGAAACACCCCAACCGAGCCACAATAAGCCAAAATAAACAAAGCCCATAAGACACAAAGAAACAACCAAAGAAGATAAAAAAAGAGAAGCGTAACCCAAACCATCGCCTCCCAGAACCAAAAACAAGCCTTCAAGTCAACCATAAGTAACCACAGGACGACTCGCCAACCAATCTGCACGAATGGAGATAGACTCCTGAATAACAGCAGTAACATCCTGAGCCGTACGCTTAGTTGCAGCAAAACGTCTTCTATTACGTTCTTGCCAGATATAGTAAACAGTAGCCGCCACAGCAAGTTTCTGCTTTAGCAGTTTCGGACGAATATTAGGATCCGAAATAACTTGAACAATCTGCTCCCACCTTGAAGGCATACCCATCATATCCACCATAAGTGAACACTCCATATCTGGGGGCTCATCCTTCCAATGTAAGCGGTCTTGAGTCGGAAGCCTTCTCTGACAAGCCAACCACAAACAGAAAGCATGCTTCGGAATATGACCCGAGAACCAAACCAATTTAGACCAAGGGATCACAGGATGATTACCCTCCAAGGAAGCCCAAGCCTTACCTACTGTAAAATCCGAACACAACGTATAAGTATCTCCCCAAAGAACTCTATCACAATCAGAGGTCAATAAAGGAAGTGGAGAATTTTGGAGCATATCAAACCGTTGACACCAATCATCAGGCCAATTACCATTCCAGCTTATAATAAGATCACAAACCGTCGTTAAGGTAGAAAACCCACAAGAATGGACAAACCGGTAAGAGATAAATGCGGATAGAGGACCACAAGATAACCAAGCATCCTCCCAAGCATTCGTGTTCCGACCATCACCAATTTGAGAAAAAAGAAACCGACGCAAATGACTCCGCAAGTCTAGAAGTTTACGAAAAACCCAAGACCAATTAGAATTTTTACGAACCATCCAGAAATTCGAAGAGCGGAGATTATTATTTTAAATCCAACGAACCCACATAGAATCCCGTCTCCTAGCAATATCCCACACATGTTTTGCAAGTAAAGCCCGATTCCAAGTGGTGAGTCTTTTAATTCAAAGACCCCCAGAGTCCAGTGGCCTACAAACCATATCCCATGATAACCGACATCTACCACGCGTATCTTCCCTTGGAGCCCAAAGGAATTTACGAAAAATAGATTCAAGATCATGAATAATACCCGAAGGAAATAAGAAAACCGACATCCAATGAAGYTGGAGAGATTGAAGAACCGATATAATAAGCTGGCGTCGTCCACCAAACGAAAGAAATTTAGACTTCCAATTAAGAATACGATTCTTCACTCTAGCAATCAGCGGAGCATAGTCACAAGACTTTAACCGAGATTGAGATAAAGGAACACCCAAATATCGAACCGGAAAAACACCAAGCTTGAAGGGAAGGCATTCAAGGATAGCCKCYTTAATGTTGGAAGGAACATTCCCAAAGTAAACGTCACTTTTTTCAAGACTAGGCGCTAATCCCGAATAGTTCTGAAAAAGAGCCAGAGCTTTTTTAAGCACTTCAACAGAAAGGACATCCCCTTTTGTAAAGACAAATAAATCAT